TGCTACAGAGGCCCAGCCAGTACACTGTCAGCATATTAGTTATCACTGCTCCTGCATTTTGGACATGCAAAATTCCATTCTGTGAGTACCCTACTGAGGATCACCTCACTCTTGCAGTGGCGGATCACAGGCATAGGGCAAAACCAAAACAAACCCCTATGGGGGCACCAAGACAAGGCAAAATAAAAATAAAAAAAAAGTGTTTTACCATTTACACACAAAATGAATGTGCACTACATGAGGATTGGCCTAGTTATAAAGGTGTGCTCACTCCTCCCTAAACGTTTTTGCTGAAATGTAATAAATGGCAAAGGAATTTAAGAAAAATAGGTCTGTTCTGATAGTAGGTCCTGCCATTTGTTTCTTTTGAGGATGTTCCCTCTTTTAAGGATCCTGTTGGTATCTTGAAGGCATCTTAACAACCTCCTTTGCAGGTTCAGCCCTGCAGCCTGCAATTGCTGCCATGTGTATTTGCCACTCTATTGCTAACTGGAGGAGATAAATGAATGGAGACCATGAATCAAGTCTTTTAATGACCTTGTTCTCTTAAAACAATTGCAGCTGATGCTGTTGGCCTTATTGTTTTGTTTTGCTGCTCTAGAGCAGGGGTGTCAAACTCCATTTCATCCTCAGTTGCATCAGCATTATGGTTGCCCTTAAAGGGCTGTTATATCTGTAAGACTATAAATACTGTATAATAATAATAATAACTAGATGTCCAGAGCACCCCACCCCTCCCCTCACATCAGATGTAAAGAGTTCAACCACCATCAGAAGTCAAGAATCCCCTACCCTCCCATACATCACAGTACACCCCCTTTACCTTGTGCGGCTGCTGGGCAGAAGCTGGGGGACAGAGCTGTGAAGCAGAAGTTCAGAGTGGAGGAGGACTGGAGTCAGCTGCTGAATGCTGAGACCAGGGGAGATGGAGATGGGAGGGGTGCTGCAGCTGCACAGAGGTGCAGGATCTATAGGAGAAGATCTGTCGTCCTCTCTGCTGCCAACTGCTGAGACTGGATGCGGGAGTAGAGATGAGCCTCTCCGTGGCTGCACGGAGACGTGTGGGATCAGGCAGGGGAGTCATGTCCTCTCTACTTCCGACTGCTGAGACAAGGTAGCACAGTGGCTAAATGGTTAGCACTTCCACCTGGCAGTACTAGGGTCGTTGGTTCAAATCCCAGCCATGGCACAACCTGCCTGGAGTTTGCATGTTCTCCCTGTGACTGCGTGGGTTTCCTCCGGGTACTCCGGTTTCCTCCCACACTCCAAAGACATGCTGGTAGGTGAATTGGCTCCTGTCTAAATTGGCCCTAGTATGTATATGTATGAATGTGAGTTAGGGACTTTAGATTGTACGCCCCTTGAGGGTTAGGGACTGATGTGAATGTACAATATATACTGTATGTAAAGCGCTGCGTAAATTGACAGCGCTATATAAGTACCTGTAATAAAAGGTGAGGGCAGAGATGAGATTGGTGCAACAGGTACAGGAGAAGTGAGAGGGCAACATTAAATGGCTTGGTGCTCCAGGTTCAGTCAGCAGGCCTTGTGTTTTGACACATGCTCTAGAGAATGTAATTCAAATAATTCCAGGTCTCTAGAATGTCTCTGATCTCTGTACATATGCAAAGGAATTTGTCATTAAAATCTCATTGAGCTATACTTTCATGTAAGAGGCACCTTATATGCGTACATTTAGACATTGCCTGGGAGAAAGGTGCTCTTACCCCATAAGGAAAAGCCTAAGTCTCCTACTCCAATAGCTACTACCTCTGCTCACCGAAAAAGGTCTGCTCTCCCCAGGCATCAATCTCAACCAAGGTTTTTTTTCCTTCTATTTGTCGAAATCCTCAGACCATTTAAAGCCTGCAAGCCTTTCCAGAAGTCTTCTTCACAATGGGGTGTTCTCACTTTTTGGAGTGGGAGGGATGTCTCTTGGCTTTAGCAACAGTCTGAATTTGAGACATTCCGGACATCTGGGTCCAATCTGTAATTTCAGAGGTGTACAAAATAGAGTTTCTTTGCCTGTCCCTCTTTTCTTTTGCTTTCCAAACTGCCACTTCAGAAGCAGGCAGATTTAATGACTGCTGTTCACCAACTTCAGACGCAATAAGTGGTTATACAGACAAGGGGAATTTCTGATATCACCAAACTTAAAAAAATGCCTATGTATACATTCCCATCTTACCCTCACGTCAACACTTTCTGTATTTTGTTGTGGGAGACCAACACCAAGTGATCTCAAGGTGAGTATGAAAGAGAACGTTGTCCTGGATTCTGTGAATGGAGGTTTCCTATTTTGTTTACTATTTATTCTATTTATTTTTTTCTATTGAGTGAACCAGTTGGACTTTATGTTTTTTTTTTGGGGGGGGGGGGGTTTCAACCTAACTATATAAATCTTCCAATTTGTAGCATTCCATTCAGACTCTCCACTGCTCCTTATCCCACTTCTTAATATTTTGCAGACCCTGACTTTCATGTCACAAGATACTTGGATATGCTTATGCTGAGGGGCTCCTTAGCCACAAACTTATCTGTCTTCATCAAAGCAGCAGTACGTCCAAATTTAAGGCTGGCAATTAACTTTCCAATGTCTTCCCTCACACCTTCAGGCAGAGCCCAAATCTGAATTTTCCTTCCTCTATAAAAAATTGTATCATTAAGGCCTCACACGTGGACCTCAGATCCACAAGGCACCCCTCCGTTTGCTACTGCAGGAGGGTTCTAGGACTAATGGTAGTTACTGTTTGAGGCAGTTCCCTTTGTCGAGTTTCACAGGTTAGTTCAACAAGAAATATATATAACAAGATATATATATAAAAAAATATATATGCATATATATAAAAAGTTCAAAGGTTCATAAACACCAAGTGATCCAACGATTTTTGAAACGTGCAGGTGATAAAGTGGATACGTCACCACGTTCCATGCATTTCCACATTTATCTTGCTACACCTAAAAACCCATGCAACTACACCCATAGCAGGTGGTTTTACAGCTTGGTTTATCTTAATGAAAAATCTTAATGTGAGTTGGCTATATCACAGTTAAACATCTCTGGAGGGGACCTGGCTGCTTTAAATGGATACCAGTGAAGGGGATATCACCGCTTTGGATGGATATGATCCGCAGAGGGGAACCTAACCGTGGAGGATTTTTTGTGATCCTACAAGCGTTTTGGCCCTTTTGGGCAAGGAGGTGAGGGGGCAATTCAGCTGCTTACGGATTATTTCCCATTAGTTGTTATGCACATCCACTTTATCACCTGCACATTTCAAAAATTGTTGGATCACTTGGTGTTTATGCACCTTTGAACTTTGTATATATATGTATATATATTTTTATATATTCTTGTTACTTACTTTTTTTGTCCATTTTTATCATTTTTTTATTTTTTGGACTTACTGCATAATATTATTCATAACTGAGTGGTATTGATGTTTTTCATAACATTATTTTTAAATGTTCATATATATTTGGGAGTTTTTTATGTTATAATACAACACTTGTCACTATTGTGGAGTTTTGATCCCCCAATAGGGATTCACTTATTGTTACTTTGTTTCAGTTTTGGCAATTTAAGCCACTGTGATTATTATTTTGTGAGTTATTTGGTCCCAATTTAAGGGATTTGTTATCTACCATTTATTTGTCTTTTCACAGTTACTTTTTAGTCCCATTTGGACTTTTTTTTTTGGTTTCACTGTTTCTGTTTACAACACCATGTTCAGTCACTTTTGGTTTTCACTTTAGATCCCTGAGTGGATCAGTTCACTTCACAATAATATTCACGGTATACATTTTTAGTCACGTATTAATAATTATTATTGTATTCATGCACTAATGGATATTTATTAGGGTAAGCGCTGTACCAGTTTATTTAGAATTGTTTGTCCTAGTATACATTTGGTATATGGTTGGGTGCTAGCAGCTCCCCATGTTCAGTAGTATTGTTTATTTAGGAGCGCAGGAGGATCATACTGTAGTTGTATGAATGGAACCCATTCATAACAGTTGTGTTTACATTATGATTATATGATAACATAGAAATCAGGTGATACCCCCCTCAAAGTGTCTGGGTACTGGGAGCCACAATCCGCTGTGTCAGGTAAACACAGAGGTGACATACAAGTATCCGGCCTGCCCGTACCGCCCGACCACAGTAAATGTGCTGTGGGTGGGCAGGAACTGGTTAAAATTACGTGTTAATTTTAGTGCACACAAAACATTACCTAGTTTTTGGGTAAAATATAAAAAATGAGGTTGTGTCGAGTAAATAGACTTAAAATTGTATGCGCCTGTGACAGACCACCTAAAATTGGTTATAGGCAAAAGCCTTTACTGGTCATCTGTTTGGTGATAACCATGAATGATTGCCCTAGAAATATTACTCCTCATTCCGGCATGCGCAGCAATAACGGATATTTGTAGAGTATGACTAAGTCATCATTTTTGTATGTAGTCACACCCAGCATGTGTTTGTATGCATATGTATGTAGGGGCGCAAGGTATCTTTTTTAAAAAAAAAAAAAAAAAAAATGCTTTTACTTCATTTTACATTTTGTAAACTTTTTTTTTTTTTTTTTTTTTTTTATGCCTGAATGACATCACAGCACAATAATTTGTGTATATACACTGCTTTATATCCCAAAATGAGGGGAACTTCAATCTTAGACCCTCGTCACTAGACCATTTGTCCCCATTGGAAAGTTTCTTCTCTCTGCTTGCTCTCCTGGGCAATCTAAAAAGTAAGATTCCCTCTTGCTTATTGTCTCCGTGACAATGGTCACTAGGAGCAATAAGAGGGAATCTCCCAGCACATATCATAGACCACAATAAATATTTGCCTACAAGTCTAATCCTTCCTGCACTATTAAAAACAAAAAAGTTTGCCTTCACAAACCCATGTCCATAGTCTGGGCACAGTGTGATCAAGTTGCAGTATGTGTGGTAAGCTTTAGCCTGAATAAACCTTTACTTTGTCCCTTGTATCTTAGACTGATGTTACAGACACTGAAAAGGTGGTACAGGCCTTCATCCAGATAGCATCTGTGTACCGAGATGAACAGGAAGTGAAAACAGCAGTGGAAGAAACTGTTGGTAAGTAGCTATTTTTGCATACATTGATATTTTGTCTTTGATAAATTACTTATCTGCTTAACTTATTTACCTTTCCTTTTTTTTTTCAGACAGTTTGATGAAAAAAAGCTTTTGGCAGTTCAGTTTTTCAGCCAGATATGTTTGTTACCAGTTTACTTGTGCGCATGGGTCTTCTTAAGGTACTTTAGTTCTGCTATAATATAATTGAGAAAAAAAAATAATTGAGAAATGAGAATTAAAGATAGAACACACTGAAATGCTAATTTAATTGTAATCCCTTGTTCTGGCCATACACACAGCAATACTGTAGATCACACATGAAGAGCAATTAGTATAAATCTGTAACATAAAATTTAAGTGAATAAAGTCTAATCCTATAAAAATCTTTAATGAAATGACAAAAGGTAAAACAATTATTGTAACTTTTTTTTTTAATCCACCGCTGTGAAAACACTCTGTTCTCCAAAACAGAAGATTAAAAACACTGTAAAAAATCCACCTTGCACCCAGTGTTTGACAGAACAGCTCACCAGAAATATATAACTTTAAGCATAATCAAGTCTCAAATGACTTGTCCTTTTCCAACCCAACCTTCCAAATATGTGTCTTCACATATTATTCCTCAATGGCTAATGTTTTCCAGAACAATAAAAGATAAAAACTCCCAATAGTGTGATACCATTTTAAAACATTTATTTACAGGATTAAAAAAAAAAAATTTATAATCACATTTTAATCATAAAAAACAGCATGAATCAATGTCCATACTCCACCAAATCACTGTTGTCCTCATTCTACTTTACCCTGTCAGACATGTGCACAAAGATCCACTCACTACACTTCACAGCCCCAAGGAGATGAACAGACTCAGACAGCGTGAATAGACTCCTCCGCTGTCTGCTGGACAGTCGATGGAAGTTTCAGGCATTTTCAGTCCTCTTATGAATGCAAAAACAATTAACTTGGTTAAATCATTCTACAGCAAACAGTTGAATCTTTTCATTTTAGTAGAAATTGTAGTTGGTGGTTTACATCAATCCATTCGGTCATTTTGCATTACATTTCATGTATATATGGCATTAAAACCTCCAATAGTGATATCTCCCCACTAGAGTTCTTCGCTTGCCCTCCAACATGGTGTCTCATTTGTCTTATCCGAGATGCAAAATAAATCTCTCTGCCATGTCCAAAAACAAACAAGCAAAAAACAAAAACCTATGAAGAAGCTCACGAGCGATTCAAAGTGCTGCAATCCAAACCTTTTATCATTTGTGGACTGATATTTTAATGCAATCCTTTTAGTTGGAATATCCTCACATTGACAGAATGCAACTCTGGTATTCGATATGATTTTTTTGTTTTACCCATCCTCTCCCATTTTTTTTTGTTATCTTTTCCACTGGGGTTTAGTGTTGCTTTTCCCATTTATATTGGAAAAATAATGTATGCAGAAACGGTGTGTCCCAGTAGTGCTTAAAAGAGGCTCTGCTGAATATACATATTACATACTGTCTACAACGGAGCCCAATGTCTTTGATTTATTTGTATTTGACTTTTTGTGTAATATATATGCTGAATTTCATGCTGATATGTATGTGTTGTAAGGACAAGACATACCTCTTCATCTAAATTAAAGCAATTCTAAAGGTTCATTTTTTTTTTTTTTTTGTGTGTAAAACAACAAACATGTCTATACTCACCCACTGTGTGCAGTGGTTTTGCACAGCCTGGATCCTCCTCTTCTCGGGTCCCCCACAGGATTTCCTGGCTTCTCCTTCACAGAAAACAGCTTGCTATGGGGGCACCCGCTGCTCCATGTGTCCATTCACACACACAGCTGTGGCTTGGCCCCACCCCTTCTGTCCTCATTGGCTGACTGGCTGTGATTGACAGCAGCGGGAGCCAATGGCTCCTGCTTGCTGTCTCAGCCAATGAAGAGGCAGAGACCTGTGACAGCCGAGGCTGTCATTCACATCGCTGCATTGCGATGAGGCTCAGGTAAGTATTAAAAGGGGCTGGGGCAGCTGCTGCACACAGGAGGTTTTTTACCTTCAGACATAGAATGCATGAAGGTAAAATACCTCCAGCCTTTACAACCACTTTAAAGAAAAAAAAAAAAATATTTGATTTTGTTTTAACTGTTTACTGGTGTTCATATTTTTTGTAGAGTGAGGATAAGATTAAACCTGTTCAGAACTTGCATGGACCACTACTGACTCTGAATCATGTAGTGCAACAAGACTATTTTCAGAAATCACTTGCTCCTGTCCTGCTGGCTTTTATTTCAAAGTAAGTGCACACCACTAGCTTTGCACATAGTTAGGAATGTGAATGTCGTCTTATGTTGTCTAGTATGAATGTTTTTCAGTTAAACTTGGGATAAGAAAAAGCTATATACATCTGCATTACTATATTATTATTATTTTTTTTTTTTTTTATACTTGCAGACCAAATGCTGCACTGGAATCTCAGCCTTTTGCTCGACACACCCTGCTACAAACCCTTCATAATTTGTAACCTTCTCGGCTACATCATTAAACGTGAAGTCTGACAGACTGAAAGGATATGAACCTAATGCTACTAGGAGACTCCAAACCACTGGAGTCTAAGCTCCTTCTGCTCTTATCCTCAACCCCTTTTCCAGTGTTTTGTTTACATTTATTACCTGATTTTTTACAAAACCCAGTTACCTTGGTTTGGATCTCAGGAAAGAAAAAGACTAGAACTGGATAAGCATCTAATAAAAGCATGCTTAAAATTTGTATTACTTCACCACTTGTAATGGTTACCTTGAACTTCCCTATCTTACAAGAAATTTTAATCGTAAAAACCTGTATCCTTGGTAGTTTGTAGTGAAATATTGTGGCTTAGATATGCATTGCTGGTGTGCATATTAGTAATGGTTAGAATTAAAATAAGCCTCTGTCTATGCCATAAAGTGTCCATTATCACTAGTGTTTACAGATTAATATGGCATTATGTTGGAATGCTGGGAGAGGATTGTTATAGGGATACTTGCTAAAATAGATAAAAAGGTGTTAGTCAATAAATCTTTAATTTTTATTGCAGTGATATCATTGCTGAGGTTGTTTTAAAGGTGCACATCAGATTAACTCATGTGATGCTTGGTTTGGTACAAGTTAGTGTCAGGATATTCTCTGATGAAGGTGTCCTTCAAATCAAGGGATACAGAGGGCTACTTGTAAATACTTTGTATTTTTTCATTCATTCCATATGCATATTATTGCATTTTTGCTCAGTTAGAAATGTGGGTTGCTGTTTAAAGCGGAACTTCAGACTCTCAATCAACATTGACTAATTTTAATCCCTTTGCTGCTAGCATTAGTAAATAGGAAATTATATCACATTTGCCTCTTTGAAACCTTTTTTCACATTTCTTCAGTTACTTCCTGCTTTCCATGCCTAGGCAAATGTAATACATCCAGAGTACTCAAGAGGGGAGGAGGGTTTTTTTTTAGCCAAGCACACCTGCGTGCATGCTCGAATTTAGGGCTGATGGCTTCCAGGAAGTAAATGCTACATGATTCATCTTCCCTTAATCAAGATCGCCATGACCAGAAATGCTAGGGAGGTGCTTTTCAAAGTGAGTTTTCAGCAAAATAAAGCATAGACATGCATGGGGGAGTTTTTGATAGAATGTTTGGTTTGTGGTGCTCAGATGCAGCGAGTTCCATTTTAAGCCACATTCTATAGTTACAGAAAGAGGCAAATGCGAAGGAACCTGTCACAATTTAGATAATAGTGCTTAGTGTTCTGTGAGCACAGGCATTCTACTGATACAGGAACAGAATCGCTCCTAATTAGATGTATAAAGTATTTAACTAAAGAACTCTGTTTACCATGGCAATAAGTCACAATTTTTATTTGAAGGGATTGCTGTGGGTATTAGTTTTTTTTTTTTTAAATATTTATAAGTGCCTGCATATTGTATTTTGAAATAGTGCAGTTGGGAACGTGAATTGTGTAACACCAATTACCTGCCTGTCTTTATTTTAATGGATGCCGATTCCCGTAAAAGGTATCTATTAAATCTAGTAAATAAAATTTTATGGAAAGCCCTTAGTCCTCAAAAATGTTGTGCAGTCCAAGAATGTGCTTGTTTGCTTGTGAAACTTCACTTGTTGAGCATCTATATTTTCATATTTCTTTATTAAATATCTTGTAGGGTACAGATTCTGAATTTTTCCAATCTTCCTTGCAGAGGATTTTTTGTTCTTTGAAGTATGTGCAAGAAAGTAAACACAGCTCCTGTCAAACAATAACTTAAAGTGTTACTAAAGAAAAAAATTTTTTTTTAAATTAAAATAACAAATGTTATACTCACCTGCTCTGTGCAGTGGTATTGCACAGAACAGTCTTAATCCTCTTCTCTGGTCCCCTGCCGGCAATCCTGGCTCCTCCTCTTCTTTGTGTGTCCCCATAGCAAGCAGTTTGCTTGGTCATGGCCTATGTGTCTACGGAGCCACACTCCATAGACACACACAGTGGGACTTAGCCCCCCCCCCACACACACACATACACACACACACACACACACTTCCTCTTCACCACATTTGATTGACAGCAGTAAGAGCCAATGGCCAATTTGAGTCCCTGTGTGAAGCGGAATCAAGGGGAGAAGAGATGCAGACAGTGCTGATCTATTCTTCCCTCTCTTCCCCTTCACACAGGGAAGGGGGAGCACAGGGAGACTAAAAACTTTTTTTTCACCTTAATGCAAGCAATGCGTTGTTAAAAACTACCTTTTTAGGTTTAGTATCACTTTAAAGTGGTTCTATAGTCAAAAGGGTCTTTTTTTTTACTTTAATGCATTACCTGCATTGAGTTAAAAAACCTTCCACTTGCTGGCTGTCCTCACTCCCTGCCCCCCCCCCAAATACCTGAGTCCTTTCTCAGTCCAGCGCTGTGCCTGTCTGGATCACCTCTGGTCTCCCTCTCTGCTCTAAAAGGACAGACTGAGAGCAGTGGGAGCCATTGGCTGCTGTCAATAAAATCCAAAGAGGAGGGAATGGCGCGGGGCCAAACCATGCTGTTTGTGTCAGTGGGAGCTCGGTAGCTCATCCACACATATGCCCCCATATCAAGTGGCTTGCTATGGAGGCACACACAGAAGAGGAGGAGCTGCGAGTGTCGGTAGGGGACCCCAGAAGAGGAGGTAAGGAGCCACTCCATGCAATTTCCTTGCATACAGCAGTTAAGTATAAAATTGTTATTATAAAAATATGATTTATTATCATTAAATGAGCCTTTAATTTTAATTTAAGCACATTTTCTTGTTTAAATATTTGAATTTACTTGTTCAGCTTTTGTAATAGGAGTATTTAATATACTTAAAATATTTGATACTATGTCAGTACAATTCTTAACATAGACTGTTGTTTTTTTCTTTTTCATTATGGAACATAGGAAGTCCTAAACTTCAGGTTATAGTGCTGCATACAGGAGCATTGGATATGCAAGCAAAAAAAGTCCTTTAGGACAGCTCAGTGTGCAACTCCTCCTACTACCAAAATACCTCAGTTTTTGTCTAGCATCCTAGAAGCAGAGACACATTTTTTTCAGCTATGCTGTTAAGACTGGCTTTTTCTTCAGTCGAGACTTCTATGTATTGCCATTAGAGCTGTTTTTTTTTAATGTAGCTATCCAGTGCTGCCTGTCCTTATACTAGTTGTTCGGGTGCCTTACCAGACCAAGCTGGACTGGATGTTGAGTTGACTAGCTTTAAAGTGAGCTTCAGGCACTAGGTTTCATGAGAGCCACCTACCAAACCCCATTATAGTAACCATTTTGCCACAGGGAGTTTTCCAGGTCCCAGAGCATTTGGTTATCCATCAGCACTTGCTCTGTCTCTGGCACTTCACTCAGTAGACTAATTGTGCTGAACATGGAACTACTTCATCTGGTTGAATCACTGGGCAACTTTAAAATTCCTCCTAATTCCTGCCATGGATCGGGTTATTTTTTTGCTAGAAAATTACTTTGAACCACCAAACATTATATTTTTTTTTAAAGCAGACTCCGTAGTGAATAAAATGGTGGGTGCTGCAATTTTTTATGTCTCATAATACTTGCATATTGGTTTTTCAAACGCAAATTTTTGAAAAAAATACACTTTTTTTTTTACTTTTGTGACCAATTGTTTGGTAAAATATAAAAGATGATGGTATGTCGAGTAAATAAGATAGCAAACATGACATGCTTTAAAACTGCACATGCCCTGTGCAAAACTGCATACATTTTTAATATACATAGGTGATGCTTTAACCACTTACCTACTGGGCACTTATACCCCCTTCCTGCCCAGGCCAATTTTCAGCTTTCAGTGCTGTCGCACTTTGAATGACAATTTATATTTTTTTTCACCCAAATAGAGCTTTCTTTCAGTGGGATTTAACCACCTTCTGTCCGCCCGTTGTATATAAACAGCCGGACAGTGGCAGTGCAAGGTTGGGTGGCCGTTTATAAACGGCCTCCCCGCTTCCTGCTTGTGCACGCTCCCAGGGAGCATGCAGCACCGCGAACCGGTGCCGCTGTGTCCTCCGGACACAGTGGAACACCGATCGTCTGACGGGACCTCTGTGCGAGGCAGTCAGTGATCACATGCAGAGTAGTAAACAACTACTACGTGTGAAATCTGAATGATCACAGAGGTCACATGATACAAGGCTATTCACAAAAGCCTTGTACCAAGTGACAAGCTGTGACCAATTCCAGCTCACACAGTAGTTCTCAATGGCTGCAAGAATGCAGCCAGAGAGAAGGAGAAATGATTGCTTTTACAGCCTTTATGGGTGTAAAAGCAATCGGTGTATAAAAAAAAAAATCTTTATCACCCCCCACAACTAGTACAGTGTCACCATGGTGACACTGTACTGCTAGAGTGACAGTATGTAAAATAAAAATAAAATGTTTAAAAATTTATAATTTTTGGTTATAAACTAATTTGTTTTTTGTTTTTTTTTTTACTAAAAAGATAATGGAATAAATTTTGGCCAAGATTCGTGATGAAATATTATTTATTTGCAAAATTTTATAAGAAAAACACTTTTTTTTCAAAATTTTTGGACTTTCATTTACATAGCAAAAAAAAATAAAAATCCCAGTGGTGAATAAATGCCACCAAAATAAAGCTTTATCTGTCTCAAAAAAAAATGCAAAAAAATTTATATGGGTACAGTGTTGCATGACCGTGAAATTGTCATTCAAAGTGTGATAGCACTGAAAGCTGAAAATTGGCCTGGACAGGAAGGGGGTAAAAGTGTCCAGACTTGAAGTGGTTAATCGCCACTGGGTGTTTTATTTTTTGCGGTATAGGCAAAAAATGTGAAAAAAAAAAAAGTTTTTCTTCGTTTCTATTATAAAATTTTGCAAACCGTTAATTTTTCTCCTTCACTGATCTGTGTTGATGAGGCAGCACTGATGGGCACTGATAGGCGGCATTAATGAGGAGGCACTTCTGGGCACAGGTGGGCGGCACTGCTGGGCACTGATCAGCA